TTTGAGAAGTAGATACAGTACAGGGAATGAAAAACAAGTGAAGGTTGATGCATTTTTGTTATCCTTTTGAGATTTCCAGAGACATTCAAATTATGCCGATACATGGAAACATACAGCACAGACATTTGTAATGTAGTTCACTTAATAGGAAGAATGAGCTTTGCTATAATGCTTTATAAACCATGGTTACTGTTTAATTTGATCTATGATACTAATCATTTGTGGCTAATATTATAGAACTATTTAATTGAACTATGATTTAGTGCTGTGAATGCTATCAACTGTTGGAGATCAATTGCAAGACAAGACAAAACCTTTGGTCTCATCTAGCAAAACATGGTCAGCTCCCTTCAACCTGTATTCCAATGAGTACTTAGCTCCAGATTATGTAATATTGTACAACTCATTTTTAAACCACAAGGATTTCCGTTAATGAGTATGAGTGAGCATATACAAAGTGTCTCCAGTTATCACTAATAATAGTTTGTTTATAAAATCTTTGGAAAAGTCAAAAAATATTGGGAAGGGCAGTGGCTGGACCCTTTTTATATATGTAGTATGTATGTTTGTCTTATTATACTGCAAAACGTAACCAATCTATTATCATTTATTCAACAAGAGCCTTGGTGGAGCAGCGGACTAAAGTGCTGTTAAGTAGCACTTAGCTGCCAGCTGCCTGCAATTACTGCGAGTTCAAATCTCACCAGGCACAAGGTTGACTCAGCCTTCCATCCTTCCAAGGTAGGTAAAATGGGGATCCGGATTGTGGGGGCAATAAACTGACTTTGTATAAAAAAAGAACACAGCTTGGGGCGGGGGGGGGCTGAAAGCCCTACTAAACAGGTATATACAAAAGTATGAAGGCTATTGCTTAACGCATTATAAACCGCCCTGAGTCTCCGGAGAAGGGCGGCATATAAATCGAACCAATAAATAAATAAATGATTACGACATACTGCTACGTAGCCCCAGATTTACCTTGTTTTAAGATGGGTGACAATAAATTTAATAAAATAAATAAATAATAAAATAAACTATTTGCAAACCCAGGCATTTCCAGTGGCAAGTATGTACCATTATGTATTATGGTCTTATTTTCACCAGAATGAAAGGATGATAGAGAATCTACAAATAATGCAGCCTAAAGGAATGAGAAAGTTCAACAGAAGTGTTAACTCTAAGCAAATCTGCATCAAAGTCTGTCCTTAGTAATATCCAACATCATGTTAAAGTATGATCTATTTAGATACGATTGGTTGACTAAATGGTAGCTGGTTAGATTTACATATTGTACATATTGTAGGTATTACATATTGTACTAGGCTATCATAAAACATGGTTACAAAGTGGCAGATCCACATACTTATATATCCAACTTACAATCACAATTGAGCCCAAAATTTATGTTGCTAAGCGAGACAGTTAAGTGAGATTTGTCCCATTTTTACAACATTCCTTGCCACAATCGTTAAGTGAATCACTGCAGTTGTTAGGATAATAACACAGTTATTAAATGAATCCTCCCCATTTGCTTGTCAGAAGACCCACATAAGTTGCCAAGTATCTGAAATTTGATCACGTGACCATGGGAATGAAGCAACGGTCATAAGTGTGAAAAATGGTCATAGGTCACTTTTTTTCTGTGCCATTGCAACTTTGAACAGTCACTAAATGAAGTACTGTAAGTCGGGGAACTACCTGTACTACTCTGAACCATAACATAATTTGCTTGGTTCCAGTTTAGCACAATATGTACACCAATCTATTGAATTCTATTTCAGCAAAGGCTTAATCCTGAATGCACAATAGGGAAAAATTATGTATAATTCCTCCATTGAAGCATCTTGCTTCTTTAGTTCTTCCAGAGAGCCCTTTTCAGCATTATAGTTTTAACTGGCCTATACATTTGTCCTGGTTGTAAACCTGAATACTGTATATTCATGACCTACTTTAGGATTGAGTAATTGTGCAGGTCTGCATATATCACTATGGCCATATGTGTTTTCTTTCCAATTTATTCTGTCATCTTGTAGTGTGCCTGACTGTGGAGTGGCAGATAGTACTAGAGAATTGTTCAAAATTATCGCAAGGGAAAATGGCAGTAGAGAGAAGAAAAAGAGAAAAAAAAGTTATTACCGATACTTGTATCTAAGGCTTGGTTAATTTGAACATCATTAAGCATGACAGAGAGACAGTCTCAGTCACTTATATTTATGAAATATTTGATTTGACTTTTGGGATATACCCCCCTCCCAGAAAATCATTATGATCCTTCATCAAAATTGCTCCTGCAGTTTCAGTGGACTGCCCAATCCCTCCCACTTCTGGTATTTATGCATAGAAGTGGCATAATAGATTGCTAGCTGCAGTGGTTCAGTCAAGAGATGATTGCAATTGAGAAGTACACAGTGCAAATGTGGTGGAATGGGGAGAGCCAGAAACTGAAATGAAAATCAGAAAAAGGTTTTCTGGGGGCAGCAATGTGTGTTACAGATGGGGAAGAAGGATTGTTATATTGTGCCAAAAACTAGGGTCTCAGCAGGTGGCAGCATTTAGCCAGCTTTGTGCCCCAAAACTAAACAGGATTGAGATTCATCTAAAGAACACTAAGATTATAGGTTAAACTAGGAAATGTAAAAAGAAAAATCTAGAGGAAGGTACTAGCAAACCACTAAATTGCCACTAAAAAAAAAACCTATTGCTCCATTCATTTGACTGCTGAATTGGCTGCTTGTCAATTCCCAGCTCTCCAATAGCTCTTTAGAAATATGATAATCAGAATTGTGCACACATTTCACACTTTATATATGAGACTATATATACATCTACAGATTATATGCGCAGATCTGTTGCTTGATCATCTTTTCCAGGATCTGCCCAGGTATTGATGTCAGGCTGAATGATCTATAGTTTTTTTGATGTGTTTCTCCCACCCACCCACCCACCCCTTTTTTTTTTTTGAAGGTGGGAACCACATCAGCTCTTTTCCAGTTCGCAGGTAGTTACCGGGTACTCCAACATCTTTGAAAAATATGATTTGGTGGTTCATAGATCATGTCTGCCAGTTCCTTCAGAACTCTGGGATGTAATCCATCAGGTCCTGATGATTATAACTCTTCTAGAGCAGACCGGCATTTTCTTGCCATTTTCTTGCTTATTTTAATTTGTATTCCTACTCTATCTTTTATGACAACTTTTTTTGTCTTTTTATTTTATTTTATTTTTAGTTGATTGTTGGAGAACTGAGACAAGTTCCTTTTAGCTCCTGCTTTATATTTATTCTGTATTTGTGGCCATGGAGAATTTGTGCCTTACTAGAATTCATTGCTCATGACCTGCTGCAAATCCTGAAAGAGAATGCTGATTTGCCAGCTTCATGGCTTCCTTTCAGTAACCCAGGCAAAACAAGCATGGGTGAAATTGACTCTTTTGTGTGAAGGGAATGGAGGGAGGGAAATTTTCTGTAGCTCCGGGACCTGCAATAGTTAAAACGGCAGCAATTGAATGACACATTCTTCCTTCTCGTTAGCCTTCTTAAATTACTGGAAGTAAAGAGGGTATGGATCCTCAGTCTACTTTTAAGAGAGTAAAGAATAGAAATAAAAAGAAGCAGATCCTTAAAATACTCTTTCACCCTTGTATTTTTTCATAAGCTCTTTTCTTTCCCTCTGTAAGGTATTTTCATTTAATTTGGAGTGATTAGTTTAGAATACTGCATCTAGTTTTGGTCACCATATTATAAAAAAATGTTGGGGCTCTGGAAAGAATGCAGGTCTGGAATTCCCCAGGCTTATAGTTCTGGAGGATTTCAACCTGCCATCCCTGGGGTCAGGGTCAGAGGTAGCCCGAGATTTCATGGAAACCATGACTTCCATGGGCCTGTCCCAGGTCATCCAGTGGATTTGGTGTTCTTGTCAAAGCAGTGCCTATGTGATCTGGAATTGGTGGACCTATCCTTGGTCTCCTTGCCATGGTTGGATCACAGTCTGGTAACAATGAGTTTCTCAAGAGCTGTACCCGCCCCCACAGGGAGGCAGATTGGTTCACCCCCATCAACTAATGGACCCAGATGGGTTCCAGAAGGAGCTGGGGTTATAACTACAGATTTATTATGCAATTATATAGTTGCCATTCTAGCTAGTGAACAACTTTACTAATACAGATAATCCTCAATTTACAACAGTTCATTTAGTGACAATTTGAAGTTACAACAGCACAGCACTGAAAAAAGTGACTTCTGGCAGTTTTTCACATTTAATGACTGTTGCAGCATCCTCATAATCACATGATCAAAATTCTTACTTACATCGTACTTACTTACTTTAGGTCTGTTCTTGTAGCTGTTTCAAAATATTCCTATTTGCAGCAGACATTACTGAAGGCTTCAACATGTTACAGGTAGTCCTCGACTTACGACTGTTATTGAGCCCAGAATTACAGTCATAAATTGTGGCAGTTGTTAAGCAAGTCACCACATGACCACTCCTAATTATATAAACTTTTTTGCAAAAATCATAAACATCTGTGGCAGTTGTTAAATGAGTCCACTTTCTCCAATCGGTGTTTACTACTGAAAACTGGAATTAAAGACAGAAACTGACAAAACCCACTGAAAATCATAGTCACAGGGCTGCAGGATGCTGCAAACATAAATGTGAGCCACTTACCATGTGCCCTAAATGTAAACACATCATCATGGGGTGTGTATGCAGCTGCCAGAACTTCAAAAATGGATGATAACTAGCTCTAGAAAGATTAGTCATAACTTCAAATGGTCTTTAAGCAAGGACTATCTATATATGTTTATGCAGGCACTATGATTTCTATGTCTTATTACTGTGTATTTATATATCCTGTATAGTGTTTTTATCATGATAAACTATGAGAAGTGGTGAGCAAACATTATAACAATATACTTCCTGTGGAAATTAAAACTGGCCAGAACAAAAATAATAATCATTTTTTAAACATGGGGAAATGGTTGTTAAACTTTATTTTAGGCTGCAAAAATGTGAAGCACGGTTTTAATCAAGGATCGTGGAAGTCCTCAAATTTCATTGCTTACTACAGACCACAAGCTAGTGGAGATCTTGCAAGCTTCTGAGGAACTCTCATCATATATTGGCCAAGTTTAGAAAGATTGTTCCATTGACTTTTCTGAGGTAAAGCTTAACATTATTAAACAGCACATATACTCTGCAGCCAGAAATATTGTTAGAGATGTGGATGAGCTCATTTTGTTGAGGGATGGCAGAAGATTGGATATGGCTATAATCTGGAAGAGTTATGCACCAAGTTAAAAAGAACATTGTGAAATAACTGTACTATACAAAGAGGGGATGTTGATGGAAGAGGAAGCACTGTGACAAGCAGGACACATTCTAATTCAAAATGACCTTTATCCATGAGGTCTCTGAAGAATGTGCTTAATCTGAGCTGGATCTTTTTCAAGTGACATTCATACAAACCAGATCTGAAAATGGTATGTATCTTGAAATCCCTCCTTTATCCACCCTCCCCTTGGAATGCCCCTGGATTTTTTTCCCTCCCCCACTGGCAAACATTACACAGTCTTAAAAACTTGGTGCAACATTGTAAAGACTACTGGTACAGATATTGAAAATGGTGTATGTGCAGCCCTGATCACTAGTCCTGAATTTCACTGTTTAACCAGCTACCAGATGTTGCAATGGGAGACTGTTTCATCACACAGTGATGCCATTGGTATTCTTATTGGGCTAAACTTTGGTAGTGATGCTTTGGGGACTCAGTTTACAACTGGAGCATTTCAGAAAGAACTCATGCAGAATACCTTGTTGCTGCATGAAGGAAACCCCACTTTCAAGTCTACGGCAAAATACATAGCCTTGAATTATCAATAAAATTTGCTGGGCTCTTTGCTGTTTTTTGTCCCCCAAAACAAACTGCTAATTAATTGTCTTAATATGAAAGCCAAACTAAAACTTGATGCAGGATACCAGTGAGAATTAAAAGTGCAACTCCTATCTAAATGTTACACATATTTATTGCCTCTGCAGATAGGACAGGATGTTGTGAAGGATTGTATGATAGCGTGGGGGCGAAATTCTGGATATCCCCTTGACTTCCAGCAATGGGAACAGATTTGGTTGAAAAATATGAAATTAACCATGGCCTCTTCATACAAAGAAAACATATATAAAATGGTCTACCGGTGGCATCTCCCCCCTGTGAGACTAGCTAAAATGTTTCCCAGGACATCTTCCTGCTGTTGGAAATGCGGTTACAGTAATGGAACTTATTTTCACCAATGGTGAACCTGCCCTCAGGCGGTTAAATATTGGAAAAAAATACGGCAATGGATTTTGGAAATTACACAGATCAATTTGGAATTAAGGCCCGAGATTTTCCTGTTGGGGGCAAAACCTTTGAATGTTAAATCAGGTATATGGTTCTTGTTGATTCACATTATTACTGCAGCAAGATTAGCGTATACGCAGGAGTGGAAAAATCAATACTTACCGATGGATTTGAAAATAATATATAAAATTAATGAGTGTGTGGAATCAGATAGATTAACTAGATTGATCAATGGTAAAAAAGATTCAGAATTTTATAACAGTTGGAAATTATGGTACGATTGGGTCCAGAAAAGGTGGGATAGAATAGATATATGATGATGTATATATATGATGGCAAGTATGTATGTATAAAGGAATGACTTTATATTTATGGACAATGTACTCACATTACACCATGGTGGCAGGATTGTATATTTCATTTGTGTATTGGTGCATAGAATATATTAATAAAAAATATTTTTTAAAAAAGTGCAACTCTTGACAATCTCTCTCATTGTTAAGCTTATAAAAGTGACACCTGGGATGCATTTGGGCTACAGTATGCAGAAGCCTTGCTAATTGATATCCTTTTGATCAAATTGACATGAAGATTTACAGTATTCTGATAGGCAGCTTTATGTGCAATCAGGAACATCTTTTTCTTGGGCAATTGTATAAGCAAGTATTGATTAGGTTTCCTGACAATGTCGTCTTCAGTGGTGATCGTAGAACAAACCCACTCAATCCCCAGCAAAGCTTTATGTAAAGCAGTGGTCCCCAATCTTTCCAGCTCCAGGGACTGGCAGCAGTGGTGGCAGAAGGAGGAGAGGAGATGGTTTTGCGTGCATGCCTGCTGCTTCCACAAATGGAATTTCACATGTATGTGAAGTTCACAGGTATGTGCAAGCAGAACTTCGTCTTCCGCTTGCACATACCGGTTCTCAACAGACCGGTAATGGGCCATGGACCAGGGGTTGGGAACCACTGGTATGTAGTATATTTGCCTTTCCCAGTAACAATTTGCATCTGGTCATGGGTGCAATCAAATATTTGGACTCTGGAATGATCATTTTCATTTTCTTATCAGGTTTCTGTGATGTATGCTCTATATAAAGACCTTTTCCATTTGATTATGGACACAGATTATGCAGTCATGTACTACTGCTAAATTCCCTATTTTGTGGAAATTACTATTATCTTCAAAATATGGTGAAAGACCCTCCATAAATTTACTATTTATGTTTTAAGTAGTACTTTATACAAACATTGCCAGGAAGTGTAAAAGCCTGTAATATTTTGAAGCATTTGAGACAACACAGCATCACCAAGTTCATATGTTTCTTAAAGAATAATTTTCCAGAACTTGACAAGAGAAAGGATGTACAAACTTTACACTTTTCCATTATGCTTTATAAACTTAAAGTAGCATACAGCAGTCTTTCCTCTTCACAGCCCTTTTATTGGACATCTCCTTTAGAATTTTTTGAAAAACCCCTCTTTCTAGCATCCGCTATTTCTTATCTCTAACCATTCTATGCTGCTGCACTGCTGTTTTTCTTATCCTTCTCCTCAGACATTAAACATCCATCAAACCTTTCAGGCTCTGATAGTTAATTTTATTAAGTAGGTTAATGTGTACTCTTCATCATAAGCCCTTTCACCTTCTGCACCATTTTTCCCATTCAGTGAAGACTAATATAGAAGAATATTTGTAGCTCAGGGTTGAAATGAGGGGTCCTTGGTGCTCTCTGAGCTTGCTTGTTTACTTGCAAGTGTTTCATTACCTAAAATAGGTAAAACAATCAGTGCTAGGAAGAAGTGGGGTTTGTTCTCAATTTATATTCTAGTGGCTTGCCCTATCCATGTTGGTGGGGGTAGTTTAGAGATTCTTTGGTTAGGCTGTTTAGTGTTGGCTTGTTTGGCCATTCCTTGATTGGGGTATTGTTTACTTGATTGTTGGTCTGATGTTAATCTTGAAGTTAATCTATGATCATCTCAATGCTAATTGCTGATGGGGAGGTGGGGATTTTTTTGTGCTTTTTTTGGCTTATTGATTACCTCTTTGGCATAATATATAGCTATTGTTTATATCTATTTGTCCATTGAAAGTGCCAGGCTTCTGGAAATTCCCTGTTTTTGGACTTGGCTTGATTTAGGACAATCACAGTTTCCCATGGTTAAATTTTAATTCATGAGAAGGGCTTTAAACTAAAACTGAGGTGGGAGAGTGGCCAATCTTTAGGATCTGTAGAACACAAAATCAATCATAAACCCCAAGAAAACAAACAATGAGGTAGGGAGTGATGAAAAAAAAAAAGGAAAGCTCAAGCACCAAGTAGAAAATATGTCTGTGGAAGGTCTCAAGTGCTTATGTACAAATGGGCAAAGTTTGGGGAACAAACAGGTGAACTAGAAGCACTAGTACACAAAAGTATGTACATTACAGAAACTTGGTGGGAAGAAACTCATGACTGGAATGGTACTGATGGAAGGATACAAATTGTTCAAAAGGAACAAATCTACAAAAATAAAAGGAGAGGGAGTTGCACTATTTATAAGAGATTACTAAATATCTATAGAAATATACAAGACCAAAGATGAACACACACACACACCCGAATATATATGGGTCAATATAAAAGGAAAAAAGAATGACATTGCTATAGGTATATACTACAGGCCACCCAATCAAGCAGATGAACTTTTTGCTAACCAGTTAACAAATATATATAGAAAATGCATCACAATAATAATTGTGTATTTAACTACCCTGACATCAACTGGGAAAGAAACTCTGCTTCAAATGGGAGATCAAACAGGTTTCTGACAACTTTGTAATCCAAAAAGTAGAGGAAGCAACTAGAGAAAAAGCTATATTGGACTTAAATCATATTAACAGAGAAGAAGTGATAAAGGGGATTGAAGTGAAGAAAGTTAGCACCTACTCCTCTTAGAAGAATGAAAAAGTCTAGGAAATATTAAAAAGGCAGAATATTATATTTCCCTAGATGAGAAAAGAAGAAACATTTTTTTTAAAGACAAAGCAACTCCCTGCAGCTCCCTGCCCCCTCAGTTCAGCTCCAGGGTGATGGGATTGAGACAAAGCCCTCAGGACATGATACCCATCTAACAGTAGGGCTCACTGCATTGCGAAATCTCCTAGAGATATTGCATCAGCCCACAGTTCAACCAGACTTATCTCAGACAAAGGATTTGCACATGACCCCTATAGCAACCAATGGGATACCTGCCCTTACACAGGAACAGGAAGCTCTAAGGCGGGACCCAAGAGAGGGTGTGTGTGTGCATGTGTGTGTATGTGTGTGTATATATACATACATACATATACACACGCACACATGCACACACACACACACATATATATATCCTCCATGTGGTCTTCTACCCAGAATCACACATGCTTGGTGGTTCTTCTTCACCATTAAACCATCCTTCCAAGCAGTCTCCATGTTTCAAGTGTCTTTCTTCCCACTTGGAATTGAACCCAGATGGATATTTCTTCCAACAGCAGTCACCGGAATTTTGGTTGATAGTGATCATGCCATATTAGAATTCAACATAACACATACACAAGCAACAGAGAATAATCAAACCAGTGTCCGAGACTTTAAAAGAGCTGATTTTAACAAACTCAGAGAGAACTTGGGAAGGATTCCATAGACAAAAAATTTAAAGGGGAAAACAATCCAAGAAACTTGGGAAATTCTGAAAACTATTATCAAAAATAAATCACAGTCTAGCACAATACCACTGAAAAAGAAAAATAGGAAATCCAAAAGGAAACCAGTATGGTTCACAAAGATCTCTCTGATAAACTGAAAGACAAAAAGAATTCGTACAGAAAATGGAAAGAATGACACATAGCTAAAACAGATTACCAACAAATAGCCCAAACTTACAAACATGATATCAAGAAAGCTAAGTCTCAGAACGAAGTAAGATTTGCAACAAATGTCAAAAATAATTTTAAAAAAGTTTTTAAACATATAAATAGCAAAAAAAGTCAAAGAAACAATTGGCTCACTAATAGGAGAAAATTGTAAGAAAGCAAAAGATAATAATAGAGAAAGCAGAACTGTTCAATTCATTCTTTTTATCTATTTTCATGCAAAAATTTACAGCCCAACATACAAATAACACAATTGTAAAACACAGACTAGGAATGCAAATTAAAATAAGCAAGGAAACAGTAAAATAACATCAGTCTGCCCTAGGCTTGTTCAAATTACCAGAGCCTGATGGAATATATCCCAAAGTACTGAAGGAACTGGCAGAAGAGATATCAGAACCACTAAATCATATATTTCAAAGATTCCGCAGAACTGGAGAAAACAGCTAATGTGGTTCCCATCTTTAAGAAAGCAGGGGGGTGGGGGGACAGATCCAGAAAATTGTAGACCAATCGGCCTGACATCAATATCTGGGAAAACCCTGCAGAAGATAATCAAACAACGGATCTGTGAACACCTAGAAGCAAGCAAAGCTATTACTAGAAACCAACATGGATTTGTCTAAAACAGATCGTGTCAAATAAATCTTATTTCATTATTTGACAATGTGAAAATTAGTGGATCAATGAAATGCAGTTGACATAGTATATTTGGACTTCAGTAAGATATTTGACAAACTTGATTACAATCTATTTTTTTGGTAAACTAGAAAAATGTAAGATAGACAGCATCACCACCAGATGTATTTGTAACTGGCTGAGAAATCACACTCAAGTTGTAGTCCTTAATGGAACTATATCTACATGGAAGGAAGGAAGTAGTGGGATACCCCTGTATTAGGCCCATACTCTTCAACATCTTCATAAACTATTTAGAAAAGGGAAGAGAAAGGGAACTCATTAAATTTGCAGATTATATCAAACTGGCAGGAATAGCCAACATCTCAGAAGATGGGCTCAAGATCCAGATGGATCTTGATATACTTGTTCACTGAGCCCTATCCAACAAAATGAAATTTAACGTAGAGAAAATCAAGGTCTTACACTAAGACAAGAGAACTCAAAAGCACAGGTACAGATTAGGTGAAACCTGATTCAACACTAGTAACTTCAAGAAGGTTCTTGGAGTCCTAGTGGACACCATCTTAATATGAGACAACTGTGTGTGGTAGGGACTACAAATCCTAGGTTGCATTAACAGAGGGATAGAATTAAGATCACATGAAATACTAGTACCCCTCTACAAAGCCTTGGTAAGACCAAACATAGGATACTACATCCAGTTTTGGTCACCCCATACAAAAAAAGATGTTGAGACTTTGAAAAAAAAAGTTCAGAGAAGAGCAACAAAAATGATTAGGGGCTTAGAAGCTAAAAAATATGACGAATGATTGCAGGAACTGAGTATACCTAGTCTAGTGAAAAAAAGGATCAGGGATGACACGATAGCAGTCTTCCAAGAATTGAAGGGCTGCCACAAGGAAGAGGGGGCCAACTTATTTACCAAAGCACCTGTAGGCA